ACAACATCTGAAATTTGCAGTGATGGTGTGTGTGTATATGTGTGTGTGTGTGTGTGTTTGTGTGTGCGTGTGTGCATGCGTGCGCGCACACAAAATGTTCCAGGCTATAAAAACAGCACTTATTAAAAACATATCCTTATTGTTTATTTTCAGCCTTGTAAAACTAGATTTCTACATACTCCTACACCTGCCAGCACCAGCAGGTGAACCAAAAGTGCATGCAATATCTAATATTACGTATATTTTTGTCGTACACTGTTGAGAAGCATTTTCCCACCAATTCGTTCAAATATCAAGTAAGAAAAAGTAACCAACAGAAGGAAAACCAGAAGGAACAGTAACAAAAAAAATCTAGATTTATATATAATTTACATTCATGAACTGTATAATATATAAAAATATATGGATTTCCTGTTTCCTCTCTATTCCTCACTTATCACTTGATCTGTAACTAAAATTTATATTTACAAAAAGAGAAATAAAATGAACCATACTCCAATCTTTCTACCACTAAAATTATTGTTTAGTCCCCTGGCCATCAATCATTTTGATCATCATCAATCATTCAGTTTCATCCTTCAATTGGGTACATTTCATCTCAGATTTCAGGAATTCATCCAATCACCCAATCATCCCAAATTCAAATTGTAGTTCGCCTGAAACAAATTTCCAAGTCTAATAAGTTTAAATTGAGAAGAACCCAGCAACTGACTCTGTAATATCTGTTCACAAAATGAAGCACAACTAAATCCACATTCTTGATGATTCGTAGACATGTGCAATTCATTTCATTCCGAATGCAAATTCAGACGAATTTCGGACATTCGGATGCTTCCCCATACCCTACCCTAACTCTGCCCCTAGCCCTAAACCAACCCTAACCCTACCCCTATCCTAACCCTACCCCTAACAATGCCCCTAACCCTACTCCTAAACAAATCCCTATGCCTAACCCTACCCTTACCTAACCCTACCCTTAACCCTACCCTAACCCTACCGTAACCCTACCCCTACCCCTAACCCTAAATCAACCCTAACTCTACCTTTAACCTAACCCTACCCCTACCCCTAACCCTACACTTACCCAACGTCCCGAAGTGCTGAAGTTCGGAAGCGCCGAACCGAAGTGCCGAAGTCCCAAATTTCGAAATGCCAAACCGAACTGACTTGGGAATAAAATCTCAAACAATATGAATAAGCGACTTAAATAAGGAAACCAATAGTCATAGAAGATACAATAACAAAGACTGCATTCAATTTCCTGTAATCTATTTTTGTAGCATGTATAAAAACTTTTAAATATTGCAGACTCTCTGTACATAACACAATAGGGTTACGTGTTTTCAAGTTCATTAACAACATATCCACTTACACTGGCTATGGCATGGATGGGGAAATATAGATTGTAAATTTGTTTGAGCAGAGCCCTCTTCACCTGTGACACAGGACAATTACTGGTTGTTGTAAATCACCCAGTGTAAAACTGTAAAGCACTGCAAAATAGGTTAGTGCTATATAATGCTAATAAAATATTAATAGTGCTGCAGGTCTTGTTGAATTAAATTTCCCAAGATGCTTAGTCAGTTTAAAGCCGAAATGTAACTCATGAACCTTTCCATTGACAAGATTCTTAGCAGTAACCTCAACTAAAAAAAATCACAGTCAAACTTAGCCAGTCAGACAGCTTTCTAAACACATGTAATACATTTTAAGCCAATTCGGAGGACTTCACAGCAAGGATTTCACAAAACCTACATTCATGACACATGTATGTTCTGGATCAGGCTTCCCCAAACTCCGGCCCTCCAGATGTTGCTGAACTACAACTCCCATGATTCTCAGCCTATCTATTTCATTCATAGAATCATGAGAGTTGTAGTTCAGCAACATCTGGAGGGCCAGAGTTTGGGGAAGCCTGTTTTGGATGATAAACTATTTTTTCTGCTTTTTATTCCATATTACTAGATAAATCTTGTCTAGAAATTGTTAAAGGAGCACTACAGTGTTAGGAATATAAATATGTATTCCTTACACTATAGTGCCGTACTACCTAGTTAGGTGTCTGCCCCCCCCATAGTGGCATTAAAAGGTAGCTTACTTACCTTTTATCAGCTGCCATGCCAGTCTCGCTTCAGCTGCCACTGCCTCTATGGCTGAGGTTATCATCTTGATGACCCTAGCCAATCCAATGCTTTCCCAAATGAAAGCATTGGGAGGCTATTGCGCATGCACGGCAAAATCTCCTTATAAAGATGCATTGAATCAATACATCTCTATGGGGAATGTTCAGCATCTTCTTTCACAGTGTGGAGATGATGAATGCAAGTGCTGCACACAGTGAATGACTGAACTAGGAAGCATCTCTAGTGGCCGTCTGAGTGACTGCCACTAGAGGTGTTACTAGGCAGCAATGTAAATACCGTTTTTTTTTCTCCTGAAAAGTCAGGGCCTTTAATAATTGCAATTACATTTTTTGGATACTTTGTTCAAGGGCTACATACAAGTTTGTTCTTCTAAAAGACCTTTCTCAGCCAAGATAAATTCATGTTTTTGTTGTGTAATAAATTTTGCCTGCAGTTATTTTCAACTACACTGTCAGGAGGAATCTAGAGTTAATCAAATGAGCAAATTAATATTTTTCCAGGCATTGGTCCCTCCTTTTATTACCCAATGGGTACAAAACAGTTTTTCTGTTGTTTCAAGAGAAGTCAAGAGTAGCAATGATTACATCGACAGATAGTGCCCTGGGGTCTTGTTTATTGGTGCTTTGATTTCTTGTTTTGTCAGCCAAGTATAAAATCATTACCAAAACTGGTGAAACTTTCAGGCTAAGTGCAGTCCTTGGTAGTTCAAAGCAGAAAAGAAACATTTCAGAGTCTAAAGGCATGCCAATGCAGTAGAATCTAAAATAATAATATAAAAAAGAGATGTAGATCCCAAGTTTAATCTCAACGCAGTGAAACATACAAAAGCTTTCAGAAATTAATAAACATACCTTTGATGTATCAACACTACAATCATTTATTAGTAAGACATTTCATATAGTACATGCAAGAAGGTGTGTGGATTTCCTTAGTTTCCTATGTAACTAGTTTTTTTTTTTAATGCTCTATTTATTAGTGACAGCAGTGTAACTGGACTGGAAGGGGGGAAGAACATTCATTTATTGTGGTTCTTTGTACAACTGCTGGTTACTATCCTAATTCCCTGCCATGAAATGGTGTTGGAGGTCAATTAAATACTATTATTGGTGACCAGCAGGGCAGCAGGTAATGTAATTCTCATGTTCTCTCATGTCACTGAAGGAGTTCCATTTTGTTTAAACTTTATATTAAAGATTCAGCAAATACATATTGCCGTTCAGACAAGGCAGAGCCAGGGCAAACACTGTAAATGAAGTGGAGAAATATAAAATAAATAAAATTTCTGCTCTGTGCTAAGTGCCATGTTTAATGGATGGAGCCTATAAGAATGATTGGCACGAAGCTAAGATGGAGGTACCCAGTTGCAAGATAGAGATGTGTGAGTGTCCACATTTAATGTTGCACACTTCACAAATATGTATTTGTCAAGTATGGGATTCAGCAAACATATGAAATATCCAGGTTCCCTTTAAGATGAGGCTAGGGTGTATAGCAGCAGATTTTTTATAAGAAACCAGGCATAGTCGTACACATGGTTTCATAGAAAGTGCATTTTTCTGAGGGTTATATATAACTGATGAATAGAAAATGGAGCATCAACATCATTATTTTTCAAAACTAAATTGATAGTTTAGTTATGATAACTAAATGTTACATAAAGGTTACATTATGGTAACTTTCTGCCATGATGATGGTATAATATTGAGCTACACCTGTAGTTTGTGTCTGTATTTGTGTGGGTGTGTATATGTGTCAGTATTTCTGTGTGTATCTGTGTTTATGTGGGCGCCCCTGTGTCGGTAAGTATGTGTGTATATAAATGTGTGTGTCATTATGTGTATATCTGTGTTTCTGTGGCAATGTGGGTACATCTGAGCACTCCAAAAACAACATTACATATAAATACATCCCTGTATACAAACACAAGCTGCATTCAAACACCAACACTACACAACACACAAACAGCATGCTTACATTCATACACACAGACACTGCTCACAATTACAATTACCAGGGATGGGCAAATGGTAGATCCTTCAGACAGCAAAGCATCATGGTATTTGAAATCTGAGGATCTACCTTTTGGCCACCCCTGCATTAGAGGGGGACCCTTAAAATTATTGCCTCCAGGGGCCAGAATTAGTCCCACCACTACGCAAGCCTAATCCTTAAAGAACAAATCAGGGCTGTCTTATAGGCCCCCGGGCAAAGCAGTGGACCGTGGCCCTCCCTACACAACCACTCACAGGAATAAAATGTGAATTATCAATAAAATTAAGCTTATATTTATTGATACCTCCATCAAGAATCAGTGTTTAAACATTAAAAAACATGCTGTACAGAAGAGATTAATCCACATAATTGTTTAGCAGGTAACAGGGAGATTCAATGACATGGACTGTTAGAAATGAACTTTATCATAGCTTTTCAGCTTCAAAAAATGATGTTAGTTGATTTTGTCTTGCTTATGTACAATAAGTACGTATATGTTATTTTTGTCAAGATATGAATTGTCAACAGCCACATCGCATGGACAGATAACAGCTGATACTTAGGTGATTAGTCCACCTAAACTTTTTAATAAAGAGGGTTCTGAATAAATCTCCCTCAATAATATGCTGAAAAGTTGGCAAGACTATGGGGTCCTTATGCTTGTGGTACCCAATTGCCCAGTGTGTCCATTCATTTAGACAGCCCTGGAACAATTTACAAACTAAACTGGGAATCATGTAGAACTCACAAAGAATTGAACATTCCATGCCAAAATGGTCAAATTGGAAAATTACCCTAACCTGGATATGTTTGTATCTTACACACATTAGCTTAAAATATTGGAACTTTACTTTCGCAATTCCCAGTTAAACAAATAAATCCAATGTATCTGCTTGCAATTAACGAACAGAATACAGTATTAATTTGTCTAGCATCACAGAGCCAAACCAATTATTAAATACAAAAACTTTTATTTGCATAATCCTTCTGCCACGATTGGTCTTTATATACACACTTTTTTTCTTCAACATACATTATTTTCCTTTAATAAAATATAAAATAACAAAATCAATGTGCATTGCTTTCGGTAAGGAAAATATTGTAGGACAGATAATTAATAAGGCACATTATCGTAAGCATTTCCAAAGAAAAAAAAACAATCCCAAATTCGACCTCTCTGAGGTTGTAGGTTTCTGACACATCTCTAGTGGGCATTTCATCCGTGAATCTATAACATTTTCCCATGCAGATTGTTCGTAGAAGGATAGCTATAAAACAAACAATTGCATGGATTATGTCCAAAATACCATAGATTTAGTACAAAAAAAAAAATCCTGTAACAAAATAGGATTGGATCCCTGAGGCGTCAGTTAAAATGCTGCCCAAAAAGAAGTCTGAAATATCGGATTTTTTTAAGGTGCTGATCCACTTTCTACGTTTTTATATAATACTTTTATTGCTAAATTTAGCAATAGAAACAAAATGCCCCAAAAGCTGCCGGAATACGCTGCCTAATATTCTTTAATAGTGTAATCTTTCCGCCCATTAATAGTTTTTTTATGGGCTAAATAATTCTAATTCGGCAATGTGATACAAAGAGAGGGTGCTGATAGGATGGAACGGTGTCTTTTACCATAGCAGCAACAAATATCTTCCTATTTTAAGAAGATCATGGAAACAATTAAATTATAGCTCTGCTTAATTGCATGTCATCGGCCTGTTAGCAGCCAGTTCATTTATTTTGTAGGTGGAACAACAACTATTAATCACTAAGCACTGAGATGATTTAAAGTTTGTAGGAAACGTGAAGCTCTCACTGCGTAGCTTCTTCCAAATGCCCAAAGATTGCTGTAGGATTTACCTATATTATACAGTTCCTCCAGAAAGGGAAATCAAAATGTCTTGTATGTATATTCTGAAGTGCACAAGAACCGGTTGTAAAGGTATATCAAGGCCCAGCCTCAAACGGCACCAGTTGTGGGAGGCGTCTTATATGTATAAATATATATATATACATTATGTTTAGAAATGTTTCTTTGAAATTCCAGGAAAAAAGTTACAGAATCTTCATAATTCAATTTAATGATGCTGGGAAAATCCTAATGGAGTCTTTAGGTAGGAGTACCAGTCTATAATGTTAAAATTCTGACATATAATTTGCTTAGAATGCCGTCTAAGAACTGCATGACGGTTTCAATTAATAATAACGATTGAGACTTCTGGTTCCTGGGATGTCTGGTTGCCCATTCATCCATATTTCTCGAATGATGCGTTCCCTTTCTTCAAGCCTCTGAGCCCTTTCAAGTTCTTCAGCTGATGTAAACACGTTCATGTTTAAAGTCCTCTCAAAGCGCCTGTGCCTTCTTGCAGATAAATCCGAAGTGGTGTCAGAGTCGTCGTCACTGTCGCTGCTGTCATCACTGTCACTCTCCTGTTTCCTGGGAGGCTTCTTTACTGTGGACCTTTTACAGTCTGTTTGGCAAGATATCCTCATTACCAAGGCCACAAGAGTCAAAATTAGGCCAATGCACACTCCAGATACAAAATATAATGCTGCTCTCTCTGGGTTTTCTAGAGAAAACAAAGAAAATAAATCTGTGTCAGAGAAAACCAAACAACAAGGACACTATTGAATTCGTCATTCAGAGTTCGTACAAAAGAAAGAAGAAAAGAACTGCTTTTTCCTCATGACTTCATCACTATAAAAGGCAAAATATAGAGGAGAAAGAAAGACAGATAGTTTTTTCCAGCTGCAGCAACAGAACATAAAAACATCATTAAAAATAAAGATACAGACAGCCAGACAGATGGACACACAAAGAAGGATTCTAAAAGGTCATATTATCTGGTCAAGGCAAAGGTGTACCTGTAGTTTCTGTCACTTATTGTGGAACTGACAGGTGGCCCACACCCGTTTCAGCGACAGTGCCTGGTGCAACCCCTCTGGAAGATTGTCTGTGCAGACTCAGGCACTACACTTGGGTTTACCTGGTTGCCACACCACCTGTGTTTTTTTTGCCCATTATTACTGTGTCTATCTATACTGTATGTCAGGTGTAGGCAGCTGTTGTCACTCCAGTTGTTGTGGACTACATTTCACTTGATGCTTTGCCAGCATTATGTATTTAAGAGCATTATGGGAGATGTAGTCAAAAACATCTAGAGTGCCAAAGGTTGCCTACCCCTCCAGGGGTTAAACATGGCTCCTGGTAAACAGAAGGCAATTTTAGCCAGAATTAGGGGGGTTTCTCTGACTATTCCCCAAATGGAGTTTGGTTACTTGGATCTGCCAAGAATATATATTTTTTTCTTAAAAATACTTTTAGCAGACTTATATCATTACTTATTTACTAAGCTGAAAGTATGCTCCGGTTCCACGTATTTTATGTGCACTCTATGCCTCAAAAAGGAACCATTTCCTTTCACCTAACATTCCCTATTTAACAGTGGTTTGTGTAACTGGATACAACATGTCTTTAGATTACCCTCTAAAATGTGGTTTGACTTACGTATTGTTAGTTTACTTGTGACC